GTCCATGTCACGGTGACATGCATGTCATCGTAGCAAAATCTTAAAGTTTTTCATTCTAAACTTAAGTAAAATTATTTTTTCATTTTCGTATAGGAAATTTAAAAAATATGAAACTCACTTGATATTACGTATTTTACGAAAATTACAAAAATTGAAACATGAAGGTCACTTGAGATCATGACAATATTAATATAATATATAAATTAAAATTTTGGTTAATTTAACTATTCAATAAAATTATCAATTAAATATAAAGTAAAGTAATGTATTTGGTAATTTGATGTTTTTAAAAAGAAGAGGGAAATTTTGGTGTATTCAAGTTTTTGGGAAGAGAAAGAAGAGGGAAATTTGGTTCTTTGAATTTTTTAGAAAAGAAACAAGTGGGAATTTTGGTGGTTTTGATATGTGGGAAGAGAAAGAAGTGGGAAAGTTTGATTCTTTTAATTATGAAAGAGAAATAAGGAGGGAAACTTTTGAGATTTCAACTTTTTGTAGAAGGAAAGAAGAGGGTAATTTGGTTTTTTCAATTTTATGGAAGAGAAAGAGGAGGGGAAATCGAGTTTTTCTAATGTATGGAAGGAGAAAGAAGGAGAGAAATTTTAGTATTTTTGTGAAAAGAAAGAAGGAAACATATTTGGTGTTTTCAATTTTTTGGTTTTTCATAATTTTAGCTTTTGAAATATGAATGTTTAACTTTTATATGGAGGACATGACTAGTTAAAATTAATCTTATATGCTTTGAAGGCTAATATGTATGTATGTAATTGTTTATGGGCTAATAAATAAATTAACCATTAGTTACAACAATTTATACTAAACTTGATAAGTAATCTTTGACGGTTCGTTGTTTAGGATATAAAATATATGGTTAGGGTATAAGGTATAAGGTACATATGGTTTAGGGTGTATATGGTTAGGGTATAAGATATTGATGGTTTTGACGGTTCTAAGTTTTTTTATTAACATTTGTTCACTTGAAGTCATTTGAAGTCTTTAACGGCAGGAGATCCCTTTTTAATTTATGTTTATGGTACGTGGTTAGGGTACAAGGTATGTGGTGAAGTATAGGATATATGGTTAGGGTATTAGCAAATATAACTTTTTATCTATGTTTTGAAAATAAAAGTATGAATTTCACTTTTAAATTAACTATACTAGCAAAATCACAACTCAAGGACATATGATTAGGGTATAGGTTATGTGGTTAGTGTATAATGTATTGATGGTTTAGGGTATACAATCAACAACATATACTAACTTAATATTGTTGATTGAGGGTAAGACCAAGTGTATAGGATATATGCTATTGAGTAAGTTATGATTGAAGTCACAATAATTTTACTAAATTTGATAGCTAATCTTTAATGGTTCAATTTTTAGGATAATTCGAACAATTTTACAAATAACTCGTTTGGCAACAGTTCACTGAAGTTATTTGTGCAATGAGTTATTTTGAAATAACTCCTTTTATCACTATGCTTTTGCCAAATACCACACGCCAAATACCAGATTTGCATGGTTATACTAAACGAGATACTTTAATCCAATTACTACTGAATTAATACTAAAATATCAAATAAACAATTAATGGTGTCTTTTGGTTGCAAATATTGATATCACCATTACTATTAGCTATAATACTTTACCAATTATGATTAATTACATAACAAGTTTGCAAGTCATACAAATTGATTTAACATTTTTACTAGTTTTTTTCAAAAAAATAAAGTATATATATACGAGGTAGAAATAATTTGGTTAAGAAGTTGAGAAAATATTTTAAATTAGTGTAATAAAATGTGTAAGTTGGTAATGAGTAATGAGTTAAGTTACTTGATGAGCTGGCCCGAAGAACCCGAAACCCGATCCGCCCACAACCCGCCCGACCCAAACCCCGATGAACCCGCAACCCGATTTGCCCGCAACCCGATTGAACCCGAACCCGCAACCCGACTAACCCGCAACCCGTTTGAACCCGAACCCGATGAACCCGAACCCGATGAACGCGCAACCCGACTAACCCGCAACCTGTTTGAACCCGAACCCGATTGAACCCAGCCCGAACCCGCCTGATTGACACCTATACCAGTTCTCGTCCCGACAAAAAGAAGAAACCTTCCGTCTCCAATCTCCATACTTTTCTTTTATTTAATTTATTTATGTATTTGGTTTTAGGTTGTCCAGTTCGATTTATAATAGTATTACTTTTTCTTTGCTTTGTGTGGTAGTGAGTTTTTATTGGTCCGAGTATTGTTTTCTTTTTGGTTTTTAAATTGGTAAGGAGATATTTTAAATAGGAATGTATTCATGGTGTGAGTCATCCGTTCAAAAGCCTGCAATATAATATTTTTTGGAAGATTTTGTACTCTTTGGTGCTCTAAATTGGGTTATATCTTTTTAAATCTTAGAATTTGTCTCCTTGCATACTCATGCAATTGCTTCTCTACAATATGCTCTTTATAATTATTTGTTCTCGTTACTTTTAAAAAGTCAAAATTTCCTTTTTTTCCATCACTATTTTTAAGTATTTTTATTCCTTTTATGGTTAATGTTTTTTCTAATAATTCATAGTTTATATATATTTTTTTACAGAAAATGATTCCAAACAAAGAATGGATGAGCATACGGAACAGAAGAGAGCCAGGATTCATAGAAGGCGTAAAACATTTTATTGATTACGCATTTTCTCATTCAGCCAACAACGAAGCCATTCGTTGTCCTTGTACAAAGTGCAGAATTGTTGTATATAAAGGTCATTCTGAGGTTCAATTTCATCTGCTAAAAAATGGGATTTTGGAGAATTATTCAACTTGGAACTCCCATGGAGAAGGTGCGGGTAATACTCAGGACTCGACAAGTACCCAAGAACTGAATGAAGACCATATGCTTGAAGATACTCTTGATGATATGGATGGATTGTTAAATGACATTTATGGCAGGAGAGGTGAAGAAGAAGATTTTGGTATGGACACAGAGGAGGTTGAAGAAGAACCTAATCAAGATGCTGCTACCTTTTATCGCTTACTGCAAGAGGCTAAGGAAAAATTGTACCCAAACTGTGAGTACACTAAACTATCGACGATTGTGAAACTACTTCATCTTAAAAGTATTCACAAGTGGACTAACAAGTCATTCGACGACTTACTTGACATTTTGAGGGTCTTAATTCCTTATGCCAAGGTTAATTTGCCCGAGTCATTCAGTAGTGCTCGTAAGTCTATTTCTGAATTAGGCCTTGGTTATGAGAAGTACGATGTCTGCGAGAAGAGTTGCACATTATACTGGGGTCCTCATAAAGATGCAACATCGTGCCCAGTTTGTAAATTGCCTAGACATGCATCTATAGACAGCAAGGGGAAGGGAAAACCACACAAGGTATTACGATATTTTCCATTGAAGCCTAGGTTGCAGAGGTTGTTTATGTCAAGTAAAACAGCTTCTGAGATGAGGTGGCATAAGGAGGGCAGAAGTGATGATGGTATAATACGACATCCCGCTGATACTCCTGCGTGGAAGTCATTTGATGAGACATACCCATCTTTTGCATCTGATCCTAGAAACGTTAGACTGGGTGTAGCAACTGATGGCTTCCAACCTTTTGGCAACATGAGCTCCCAACATAGTATATGGCCAGTGGTTCTTATTTCCTATAACCTGCCTCCTTGGTTGTGCATGAAACAACCATATTTTATCATGTCAATGATAATACCTGGTCCTCATAGCCCGGGTATGGGTATCGATGTATTCTTGCAACCTATGATCAAGGATTTGAAGGACTTATGGGAAGATGGAGTAAACACGTACGATGCACATTCCAAGAAGAACTTTCAGTTGCGTGCTTCGATTCTATGGACTATTAGTGACTTTCCAGCTTATGCTGATTTCTCGGGATGGTCTACGAAAGGTTATAAGGCTTATCCTTCATGTCATGCTGACACTAGCGCGCTGTATTTGAAAGGGTCGAATAAGTTGTGCTACATGGCTCACCGGAGGTGGTTGGCACCTAATCACAAATGGCGAAAGAATGTTGCAGCATTCAATGGGGAAAGAGAGGTCAGGGCAAAACCAAATCCATTATCAGGAGATGAGGTGCTTATGAAATGCTGCTCTTTCACGCAAGTACCTTTTGGGAGGAAAGAAAATCCAGTCAACTATGATGCTACTAATAGTTGGGAAAATTTGAGGAAAAAAAGCATATTTTTTGAGCTGCCTTATTGGAAGAATCTCCTTATCCGCCACAACCTTGACGTCATGCAAATTGAGAAAAATGTGTGCGATAATGTGCTAGGGACCATAATGGATATCAAGGGAAAGTCAAAAGATTCTTACAAAAGTAGATTGGACTTGGTACAACTGGGAATTCGAGAAAAACTACATCCAGTGGAGGTTGGAGGCAGAACTCGTCTCCCGATTGCACTTTATACGCTATCGAACGAAGAGAAGGAAGTGTTGTGCAGGATAGTGACAAACATAAAGACTCCCGATGGATTTTTGTCAAACATTTCTAGATGTGTCAACATGAAGGAGAGAAAAATCTCTGGCATGAAGAGTCACGATTGCCACGTGTTTATGCAGTGACTTCTCCCCTTAGCAATTAGGAGGCTTCTACCAAAGGAAGTTTGCGAGCCAATGATTGAGTTAAGTGCATTCTTTAGAGAATTGTGCTGCAAGACTCTACAAGCTGGTGATCTAGATGACCTCCAAACCCGAATCGTGATGACACTATGCAAACTAGAGATATTCCCTCCTTCATTCTTTGATGTCATGGTACATTTGTGCATTCACTTGCCTATGGAGGCTAAGATTGCTGGACCAGTTCAAACAAGGTGGATGTACCCAGTGGAACGGTTCCTGCGCACCCTTAAGTCGTATGTTCGTAATAAAGCACATCCGGAGGCTTCTATAGCAGAAGCATATATAGGTGATGAGTGTTTGACATTTTGTTCAAGATATATTGATGGGGTTGACACAAAGTTTAACAGGCCTCGAAGAAACAATGACGACAACGAAAGTTCTAGTAAAAATCAGGAAATGGATATATTTGATGATGTGGGTCGTCCATTGGGGAAAGAAGTCACCGAGATGTTGGATCCTGAATGGAGACGAAAGGCTCACTTATATGTCTTAAATAATTGCAAAGAAGTGTGGCCTTTTATAGAGTAAGTGTAAATTGAAGTTTTTTCTCTATGCTCTTGGTATGCTTATATTATGAGTCGTAACCAAATTGTATTTTGCAGGGAGTTCAAAGCTAGTCTACCTCCAATGAAACACTCTGATGTGAAAAAGCGCTATAATTCTGACTTTCCTACGTGGCTTCGAGATCATGTAAGTATAATAACACTCTTTTCCTCAGTAAATGTTTATTGGTGAATCTTAATATATAGTTTAATTTGTTGAATTTTTAGGTTACTCGTTTGAAACAACAAGGGCATGTCCATGTTTCTAGAGATTTACATGATTTAGCTTCAGGACCTATCATGTGATACAAAAAGTATACTGGTTATATTGTTAACGGCTACAGATTTCACACGTTAACTAGAGAGCAATCAAGAAAAAGTCAAAATAGTGGGGTACTCTCAAGAGGCGATGATAGCTCTCCCCAAAAGGAGTATTATGGAATTCTTGAGGAGGTGTGGGAGTTGGAGTACATCGGGAGAAGGAAGATTCACTTATTTAAGTGTGAATGGTTCGAGTACACTGTAGACGAGTACTCAATCATGAGCGTTCGGGCAGATCGTCGCTTGAAAACAGATGAACCATTTATCCTAGCATGTCAAGCAGAACAAGTTTTCTACATTGAAGATCATCGAGATTCGAATTGGTTAGTCGTAATGAAAGTACAACCTCGTGACTTGTACCAGATACCAGTGGTGACCACCCATGATGTTGAATCAGAAGAGGAAGGTGATGACTATGAAGAAGAGGATGCATTTCAAGAGGAGGAAACAACGAATGAGGGGCGTGCAACAAGACCATTGGATGGTGATGACGAAATTGAACTCCAGAGAGATGATGTTCCTGCAGTACCAGTACCGCCAGAAGTGATTCAACAAATTCAACGAACCAATAATGTTGCTCAAGAAGTTGAGGAGGAGAATTTTGAGAATGAATACGAATATGACATTTTGGCTAACAACGACGATGAAGATAATGATGATTGATATTTTATGTAACATTTTTAGTATTTTGGTTTTTGTTATGGACGTATTTTCTTTATAATAATCAATCCTATTATTTTTAAATTTAATAATCCTATCTATGGTTAATAATTTTTTGTTCGTATATCTAGAGGATGGGTGCTTATCCAGCTAAAAATACAGACCCTCTATTTTTCTTTCGTTTAATTCAATCACCATTATAAAACAAATTCCTACAAAAAAAAATATTTTCAAGGTAATTATCTTCTTCGGTCATTCACAACCACAAAGAAAATGAATTTCGCACAAAAAAAAGGAGGATAGAGTTTTCCCTCGTAGCTCCTGTTTTTGGCGGTGTCGTGCTTTCACTTTGGCGCCGAAAATTTACCGCCTGCGTTACCAATTGATTTAGCCTCGATTCTCAAACTGATTCCCTTTCCATAAGATAATACCCAAATCCTTCAATCGATCCCTCATTCTGCTTTTTTGCCGACTGGGTTCCTTTCCTCACAGGCTCGATATATCCAAGAGTTAGGTTCCTTCCTCGCTGATTCTTTCAATCGATAATTCTCGCCTGCTCCTTCTCCCAAGCCGTCGATTGACAACGTTGCTGGTAAGCTAACCCCTGCTTCTCTTTATGTTCGGAGTTGTTCACCTTAATCGACTGATCTCTTAAAGAACATCACATGGATTCTTGTCGCCTGATAGACTAAATTCCTTTTGCTTATTATTGTTCCCCTGCTGCTCTTTATGTTCCGAGTTGTTCCCCTCTCCTGCTGCTCTTTATGTTTCGAGTTCGTTATTTAGGGTTGCTCTTTATGTTCGAGTAGTGCAATTACTCCACGGTCAACCACTAGCCAAGAATTCCATTAGCTCCCCCCTACTTCTCTGTTAGTTGCTTCCATTACGGATTTGTTATAATTAGGTTGGTTATTATTTTTTGAGATGATTATGTTAATTATGCAGATCACTCGAGCTTTCTTAGGATTGTTGTGTTTTAATCCCTTTCGCCATTATGCATGTTTTGCACGCTTTATTGATTGGGATGATTATGGCGATATGTTGTTGTAAGTTGTTCCATGCTTGCTGATATGCTATTAATGACCAGAAAGCTGATTATGCTGGCTGATATGCTTGTAGAAATGGTTGATGATAAACGAAATCACCTTGCATATTTAATGGACCGAAAGTTGAAGTCAATGCTATATGAAAAGTATAAGAAATACAAAACAGATAATGAGCGCAAGCTGCATGTGCCGAAAGGACTATCAACAGAAAATTAGCAGGAAATGCTTCGATATTTTGCAAAACCTTTAAGGTATTATGAACCGACTGTATAAGTATCTCCTTTCTTCTTATTATAACAAAATTCTGCTATCCTTTTAATTTTGGTTGTTCATATCGTGTATGATATTGTAGTTGCGAGCTGCTAAGTTTGGTTCAGATGAAAAGCTTATGGTTCGTGCTGGATCGACGCCATTCAAACGACTAGAATACAATATGGTAAATGCGAATTACAGCTTATTGATGATCTAGGCCACAGGTCTTTGTCGCTTTCTCTCTTACTAAATTTTTTATTTATGATGTCAGATGAACGAGGGAACTGGCGAAGTAACATCTGCTTCTCTAGTTTGGATGGTGACTCACTCCTACTGTCACTCTAGAAAATGGCCAAGTGTAACCACTTCCCAAAGCGTAGTATAGCGGGTTTGGGTTTCAATGTCAACCCGGGTCCTAAATGTGATGACTACTCAGTGAATTCGTATTATCTAGCAATGAAACTTTAGTGAAGGTCCAAACTAACAAGCAAGCAAAGCAACTAAATGGTTGTTTTCAGGTTAAGAGAGGTCACCTGGATATGGTTCCACCTAGACTGCAGTTAGGCCGGATTGTAATTACCAAGTTCAATTTCTATGAAAGTTATACTGCGGAAGGTTCTCAAACAGTCTGAAGTCTCGACTAAAGGTCTTCAGACCCTCTCAATCTGAGTCTCTAGCGGGCGACTAACCTCCACGGGAGTAAACAGATTGAGGCCCTATGAACAAAACCTCCACTACCGAATTGAATCCGGTACAGAATAGTGAATTGGCTCCTCGACTAAAGTCACCAATTCACTACCTTCGATTAAGGATACTCTATCAACCTAGGCAGATATTATCATTCTAGGTTAAAGCAGAAACAACAGGAATTTGATCAGGATTCATGCCATTCAATCATTCAAACCTCAATCGAATATAATCAAATCATAGAAACAGTACTTGGGTTCATACAATCAATCCCAACATACAGAACTAGGGTTTCCCACACCCAGATGAATGGGAGAACTACTCCATGGAGAAAGAAGCAAAAGCAGAATCAGACGCGGAAATCATACTATGAAGATGGATTTCTGCTCCTAGACGTTGAATCGGCACTTCTCCAAGCTCAAGCCAAGCTCCAATGGTGTTGAAGATCAAGCTAGGGCACTTGGAGACTCTTGTTCGTCGCTTTCTCTCTCTAGGAATCGCTCCGTCTCTCTAAAACTCGAATCCCCTTCTGTTTTGGCTGAAATCTGCTTAAAAGGGCATCACTGGGCAAAGCACTGTCGAGGGCACGGCCGTGCTTTGCCTCAGCCCGCCCGTGCTTTGGCTAGGGTTAATTACACCGCCATGTGTTGGGAGAAACACGACCGTGCTTTCAGCCCGTGTTTTCAGCTCGAGTTGGCCAAACTCAAATCAGCTCTCGGCAGTAAAAGCACGGCCACAGAACACGGCCGTGTTCTGAAGGCCTCCTGCCCGTGTTTTCACTGCCGAACCTGTTCCCCTATATTCAATGCTTCGTTTCTCCCTCGTCCGGACTCCGAATCAGTCGTCGTTTGATCCCAGACGCTTGTAGTCTCGTCCTCTTTCTTTTCATGACAGACTTGCATGATTCTTTGTCCATAAAGTGAGGTAAAAATCCATTCTTCTTCAGGTCATGCCAGAGTTTCTTCTCCCGAATCGCCAATTGATCTCTGATTGACTTGAAACTTGCGCCTATGCTTCACTTTATGTGCTAGGACCTGAAATGTAACAAAGGAACACAACCTAGCGTAAAATAGGCCAAAGAAGCGATAATGCAAGCTTAAACGATCAAGAAACAAAGGGGAAAAACATGTGCAAATATCGAGTCATCAGATGGCAAAGCGTACCACTTTGGATGCAAATGATAAGCACGTGTGAAACACCACGAGGAAATATGAGTAGTTTCTTAGTTTCGGCGGCCATAAATTTGGTTTTGGCGGCGAAATCTGATTTCCCGACTTGATTTCTTTCCTTAAGATAGACCCAAGTCGTTTTAATATATCCCCCCCCCCTCCCCCTAGTTGTAGCTTCCGCAACTTTGTTCCCATCCTTTTCCTAGTTTTGGTTACGCCGTGACTGGGTTCTTCCTTCGACCTCTGCTGTGCTCGGTAAGCTAATCGTTGCCTCCACCTGGTTCGTTTCCGTTCATGATTGCTCATCCTTTAGCTTTTAAAAATACGCTTTTCGAGCTGTATCTCTGCCTCTCTTTTCTTATATCCGTCCCCTGTTCCTTGTTCATTGGGTAAAGGTCATTGTATGCAATATATAGGTATACAATCTTTTATTTTCGTTCTCATTCTAACACTGATGTTAAAATCTCTATTGCAGGAATGATGCGCGCAACGAAAAAAAGAGCTAAACTAAGATCACGTCCCGCCCTCATTGCTACGGACACAGAAATCGAAAATATGTCGCGTGTTGTAGAAACGGAAGCGCCTTCGTCGAACATGGAAGGTAATGAATGTCTTTTTATCTTCGTTCAAGAGTAGAATGAAGTTGTTTAGTTGGTAGTAAACTGAACCTACAATCTTTTATTGAGTTGCGGATGCTATTGGTGTGCATGCAAGAAGCAGATTGAAGTGGGACTTAGAGACAAAGTAGGATGCTATTCTTGTTTTCTTTTCACAACTTTGTTGTTGCTTGATGCTGTTTATTTTTTGTTTGCATAAGCTAAATCCGTGGAACAACCATGCCATTGGAACCTTGTGATTTGGCTGATTCTTTATTGTTAACATATGATCTTGTTCTTGAACTTTCTGCTTTTCTGCATAATGAACTCTGCGTTACCTATATATAAAAAATATACTACTGTGTTCGAGTTCTACTATTAGTTCGAGTAATAATTCACTTTTGGTTCAACCTACTTATTTTAAAGGTAGCAGATGAACTTCCTCACTTCGTCCAGAACTCATGGAAGAAGTTGTTGCACATGAAACTGCTAAAGGTATTATGATTGCCGAGTAATTCCATTGGTGTTATATGATGTGTAAATTTTTAACTTTTCAATTT